TAGCACTATTTAAGTATTAGATCGGGAAGAAACTCGAAAAATCCATTCGATCAGCTTGTTCATTAGAAGCAAACTGGAATCAACTATTAGTGTTTTATTCTCTAGATTACTGGTGGACATCTTTATTTCGGGAAATTTCAATTTTCTTTCAGATTTTTACTGTCATAAGACGAATAATAAATATTTCACTGAAAAATAATAGAGTCTGTCACTAGATAGAAGTATTTTCGTGGCTATCGATATCCATTTTTGGTTCTCTGACACGAATGGATTCCACATTCAAATGTAAAACCTGTAAATATTCTTGACTTTGTTACGAAAATATAATTTTGGTTAACCACTTTTTTAGTACTTAAATTCTTATTTACTTTTAGTAATCGATAAAATTTCAAGTTTAATAAATTAGATCTGAACTTACTACATCTGAAAAGCTCATTATTTCAGCGTTTTCTTTGAAGTCTTGATGTATTTGTTGGTGTTATTGCAGATGATTCCCAGTTGGTAATTGACAAACCAATCAGATTTCGAAACAAATTGACGGAAATTTCTACTTCAGCACCTTCAAAAATTCTTTAAATCCTTTTTTTTATGCTTGATAATGTATTACTCGACAGATCTCTAACATTGAATCCCACAACCTCATTGATCATATAGACGAGTTTTTTGACAGAGGATTTGGAATTTTTTAAAGAAAAAGTAGTCATTAATTTTCTGTGGATGAGAAAATATCTGGAGACCCGTTGGTAGTCCTAATCAAAGTTTTCCGGGATTTTTCCACGTGTCTAACACATAGACCGTAAAAAGTCCATCAGTAGGCTGGAATCTTCTCTTAGAAACTAGTTTCTTCCAGAGTTTTTTACGTGTACCATAAAAAGTCCATCAGTAGGCTGGAATCTTCTCTTAGAAACTAGTTTCTTCCAGAGTTTTTTACGTGTCCAACACCTAAATTAGGACTAGTTTTCCATAGTTTCCTGGGAAGTTCCTGATCCCAATAGCAATGTGTATTTTGCACAGGAAAAAAACTAAATAATAGACCCTGTATTTCCNTATATATATATATTTTATTGAATCAGCTATTTTATTTTTTATATATATATACATAATATTGTTTTAAACAAATTCTATTTTTATAAATAACATAAAAGAACTTATTAAAGTAAAATAAATTGTTATTAAAACAGTATTTTCTTTATAAATTACTCAAATTCTCAAGTGATTCGCGACTCACAGATTGAGAAACAATATCATATACTATTGAAATAATTCGAATTTTTCTGTTATTTGTATTAAATTTGAAAGTTAAACTATAATAATATTTAATTATAATAATATTCCGAGTTTATTAACAATAAAAATGTTTATATAATCCTATGTTTTTAATCAAAATTAAATTATTTTCAAAATTAACTTTTAATCCAAAATTCAACCGAGTTTTATTCAAAAGAAGGGGGAAATGTACTGCTCACTTTTTATGCAATAATTTAAAATGTTACCAAATTTTTGCTTAATTAAATTTACATTTTTTCAGAATAATTTGTTAAACAATAAACATTCTATATTTTAAATTATATATAAATTGTAGGTGATGAATATAAAACCTTCAGAGTGTCGACAATGTCGAATTATTCAACCTTATATTCACTTATTACTGCATTTTGGCATAGTTATAAGATGATTGATGGGCAAAATGAGCTTGAGTTAACATTGAAAGAGATAAACATGACTTACGTCTGAACCGCATTACTGCTGAGTAGTAATTTTATTGTTAACAAATTATGCGACACATTCTACCAGATAAAATACTTATAAAATATTTTGTAAAGTTCTAGAATTATGATTAAATGAACACGACAACATTTTATGAAGATAGAACGTCTCGGATAACTTATATGTTTACTGTTAATTAATAGATGATACGTGCAATGCTACTGTACATATCTGGATTTTAAAGATAATAAATTGTTGATAAAGAAATATTTATTTTACAATTATTATCATTATAAGGTTAAACAACAATAATAATTTTGGTTAGATTTTTGTATAAATTTAAAATTTTTAAAAATAGAAAATTCATCAAATTAAAGGTAAGTATATGGAAACGTCTTATGGAATGATGGAGACATGTTCCTCTTACAAATGCTTATATAAAAGGCGAATGTATGAGAATCCCTCTATGGGAATTCCTTATGTAATGAGAGGGATATGTCCCTCTTATAAATGTTTATATTAAGGGCGAATATATAGGAATTCTTTATAGAATGAGAGAGACATGTCCCTCTTTTAAATCTTTACATAAGGAGTAAATATAATATATGGGAATACCTTACGGAATGAGGGGATATTCCTATAATTTATCCCTGCAAATTGTCCCCCTAACGTATTTTATTTTACACCATACCAGGAAAATTAGGAGTAAAAACGAATACACTGTACGCTTTATTTTTTATAACCACTCAAAACCCGACAATGAGAAATTTGGGTCGACTCCCCCCTCAATATATACAAAATACCAAAGCATCAACTGAATAATTTTTCGATTTTTAAATAAACACTTTTCTTCTTATTATTACAATTATTGTAATAAGATCTCACTAATGAGTATTTTATTTTTAGAATAAATAAATTGCTTACAGTAATAAATGACACACAAAATTACTCCTGATATCGAACTGTGTGTGTACGTATGTTTGTATATGAGTACTCTCTTTAATTATCTTATTGGTATGTTACAATTAAAATAATTGTTTTTAAAAATTTCAAAACAATGTTTAATAAATCTTAAATATGTTTAAAAGTAGATTTATTTAATAGAATGCTTATTTAATGAATATTCTTCATAGTCGTTCAATAATATCATATTTTTAAAATTCAAATTTATGATCAAATTAATATAAAAATTGAAAGTAGAAANCTAAACTGCATGTTTTTATCATATGTTAATTTAAATTAATATACTGTATTAATAAATAATATATGTATAATGTAAAGTAGATTTTAATTTATATTTATATTATATAAAATATTATGTTTCATACGGAGAAAAAGATATATATATTTGAGGGGTTTTATATAAAGTTTAAAATATTTATATTTAAATCAAGAAAATATAAAGCTATAAAAGCCAGAATAAATAACTTATAAAGGTTCATGGAAAAGTTTATATCATAAAAACGAATCGTGGACTTTTTATTTATAATAGTGTTTGTTCAGATGTTCAATTTTTATTCTTTATTTGAAAGAAAATGTCAAAAAAATATTTATAAAAATATAATGATACGGTTACTTAACTGTGTAAAAAGTAAATATATATATATAAATACAGGCTCTTTTATAATGTTATTCCTCTATAAAATAGTAGTTTTCTTAACCTTTACTGAAGCTTACAACCTTTAAAATGTACCCTAAGAAAAAAATTATTAAGTTTTTTTAAGTGGGTAGGGTTGTGTTCCAGCTTAAGAGATTAAAGTAGAAAATTTATATTAAATTAAATTTAATGTAAAAACAGTTAAGTTTAGGTTAGAGATTCACAATAAAAAAAAACGAATTGTCTTGCAGACATCTCACATTCGAAAAACGATATCTAATATCCTAGGGGTGTGAAAATCTAGAAGATTCTCTAGAACTGCTCTAGAAGCATATCTAAAACTGCACCAGAAGCATATCTCGAACTACTCTAGAATCATATCTATAACTGCAGTAGAAGCATCTCTAAATCTGCTCTAGAAGCACCTCTAGAACAGTCCATATTTTTTATATCTAAATATACTTATTTTTATACAATTAATTAATCATTATTATATTTTATATACACATTTTCCAAATAAAATATAAAAGCTTAAAATCCGAGCAATTATTATTATTATAAACAAGCATACAATTCTTTTTTTTCCTAATAGGATTTGTTTACATTTTAAATTATTACAACTTTATTCGAAAAAAATGCAAAAAAAGTATTTATAAAAAGGCAATCACATTGTTATTTAACTGTAAAAAAATAAGTATATTTATATATAAAGTATATGGACTATGATGCTACTAGAGAAATAAAATAAATCTATTCTAGTTCAGATTTAAAAAAAGAATTAATGTTTTTTTATACAGTTGTCTGCAATGCCATAGCCAGATATTGTATTGAATTCTATTTTGAAAGAGACCCAATGGATCAAAAGAGGCCAAACGGATGGATTCACACACATAATGATATATTATAAAATATACTTAAATTAAGATATAAAATTAATTTAGAATTATGAATCGTAAATTAGTGAAATAAAAAATTAAATTTTTTTTTATTCACTTTACTATCTAAAATCTCATTTTTCTTAATTATAACTTTAATAATAATAAATGAATTTATTAATGTTATATGCATATTTATACATTAAATATTGTAAAGCACACAAATCTAATTAAATTTTAGTCGGATTTAAATACTCGAATTAAATGAATTTTGCTGTTAAATAGAAATTTCGCCACTAAATTTACCTGTAAGCTAAACAAATAAATCTTAGGGCCTCACTATCAGGCTATAGCTATAGGCCTCACGCTTAATTTAAAAGCGTGAGGTGTAATGAGACATTAATTAAAACTAGGACCGAATTTAGACTTGTCTTAACTTATTGGGCTGCAAGGGAAAGTCGAGACCAGACAGAGAAACATTAGGGGCAGAAGGCCCCCGACTAACTATACACGAACTTCCAGTTTAGACAGGAAAATGCATCATTTCAATTCAAAAATTTTCTCTTAGAGTTAGATTACCAGCATGGCTCTGTTATTAACAGGAAAAGTATGATTTACAGGGGCAAGACACTACTAAAATTGAGAGCGTTGTGACCAAAAATTGCAGCCTGGCATGACGATATCATAATAAATAATTACTCGTAATACATAGGAGATTTCTACTAAATAATAATAATGTTATTGTTTAGTAGAGGGAAAGGGCCTCATATGCGTTATATGTTTATGTTTTTTTTATTTAAAATTATATCAAAAATTTAAGTTTAATATTGTTNGGAGAATTGCTCACGGCTTAGCAAAAATTTCTGTGACGTACAATAGTCTCGTAAATCGACGTGACGTCCAGTTTCTCCATTAGAAGAACTGAAACGTACAGCTTTACTACATTCGTCTTTTCTGTCTGCTAACGACATGGCTTTTTTCTGTAATAATCTCACGGTCAATACATATGTTGTCACCATTATAAACATAGGTATGTAAAAAGCGAACAAAGAGCCAAAGACGAAGAAAAACTGGTTATTGATTACACATACATTTGGTGTTGCTTGAACGTTTGTTCTGTCAATAAGAGAGAGCACAATTATCGGACTGGTAATAAACATGGCCAGTAACCATACCAATGCAATTTTCGTGAATACCATTTTTTTAGAGCTTCTTCGTTGAATTAAAGGGTTTCTTATACCTAAATATCTTCCTAATGATATAAAACACATGTGCAGAATCGAAGACGAGCAGCTCAAAACGTCGCATGCTACCCACACGTTACATAAATGCCAACCGAATGGCCAATGCCCTGAAAATAAAAGAAAAAATTAGAAAAAATTAATATGTAAAAGTGCATAAAATTTTATTTAATATAGCTGAAAATAGTAAAAAGTATATTATTTCATCTAACAACTGCATTGAAATGCATTGTAACAACACAAAAGTAGTAAATGAAATTCAATACCTGTAAAGTAAAATCTTCCAAAAATTTATTATTTTTTATTTAATTTTCTTTCATATATTTCATTTCTTTAAAATAAATATTAATTATTTCACACGTTTTTTTCCGTAGATTTAATTAAAATTAATATTATTTATATCAATGAATAATTTACTTCGAGTAAACAAATTTTTTATGGATATAATTTGTTTAAAAAATTTTGAAATATTTACATAAAAATATATAATAAATTTATTATATTAAAACCGAAGGAAAAGAATTATTTTGACAATTACTCTTACTGTACAACCTGTGAATGACGGCCATTTTTTAAAATACTTACAAAATAACCTTCAAACAACGGCAATTTAGTAGCCTTTTTTCAAAGATTTGAATGTAAATAACTTTTTTTAAAGGTGAAGAGAAGTAATATTTTAAATTATTTAAGCCATAAAATAAAATTTTTAGGTAATAAATCGTTTTATTGTCGCCATAATAAGCAATTTTAGCAGGTTTTTATAATAAATTACATTATTTAAATCGTTATAATATGTAAAAATACGTATTTAGCGAAGAATTTATTTATATTTTCTCGTATATACGAATATTTATTTAATATAATTTTTATATTTGAATTTGAATTAATTTTAAAAAAATCGAATTAAAATTATAAATCTAATTTAATTAAATTGTTAAATATTTGAATTTTAAGTCATAAAAATGAAATTATTTTTCTTTAAATTATACGGCGATGAAATTAATATCCACTATCAATATTATTTTTAATGCTAATTAATATACTTAATTAATTTAATTGAATAATTCGAATAATCTGCGATAATTAAGAGCAAAGTAAACATTTTTCCAATAAATATATATTTAAATATATTAATTATCATCTAAGTTTTCCCTTCCTTCTACGGTTTTAAGAGAAGAGTTAAAGGCAAAGATGGCAATCTGGATGTTATCAATGGCATTAATGCCCGTTTTTCCTTTTTTTCCCTTAAATATATGAATAAGTAAGCATGAAAACATCAGTTTTTTTATGCGATTTTCTTTTCATAAAGAAGGATATATTGGTCATTAGTGACATTAACGACATAAATGCTGTAAGGCGATTTATTTTTATTACTATATTATTTTTTCCGTTTAGCTACGAAAAGTATGGGATAATTATAGGGATTTGACCGAGAATGGGGTATAAAAATTGTAATTTTTAACGTATAAATATCAGATTTTACTCGTAAATTTTTGAAGAATTAAAATTTAATATTAACGTTTTTAATAGAGTTAAGATTAAGAAAGTGTTTATTAATTTCTGAATTTGTTAATCTTCTGGATAGTGGATGTGTTATTTATTTATTAGTTTTTACGTAAAAGAAAGTGATTTTTAAAATTAAAAAATGGTCCAGAAATCAGTTAACTAAGTTTGTTTCAAGCAATTCTATTCGATTTGATATTATGGATATATGAAGATGTTATGAGAGATAATTTTTTTTTCTTAAAACCCCCTTGCTTGTTTCTCATATGAGTTTTCCTCATAAAGGATCAATAGATTTCCTAATATGCCCACTAGGCCTTGGCCTGTAGGGAAATCTATCAACAAACGGATCGGTAGCAGCATGAAATTAAATCTAAATAGTAAATGAATGTGTATAACAACGGTAACGTAATGTCAGACCTTCGAGTCATAATCGCACATGAAATGCAGCCAAAATATATTACTTTTAAAACATAAAATGACAAGAACTCTAGCAGCTTCAGCTTACTTGCCATTACAAACCCCAAAATACACGTGAGAGACGATTGGGCACGTGAGAGGCACGTGAGGGCATGTGACATGCCACGTTCTCTGTGGATACAGAGATGATGCACATAACAGAAACTATTAAATACTCATCGTAACATTACTCCCGGATGCTCTTAATTGTGAACTGACTTTTGAGCCACCCATATTTTTTAAAGAAATTATTTTTATTTTTAAAATATTTATTTACGAAATCATAGTTTACAAATAAAAATGTAAAGAAAATAATAATTATAATCTCTACAGAATAAGGGATGACCCAAAATTCAGTTAACTACCGTAAAAGCTTATTCAAATGCTTTAATACGTAATGCACTATGATACATTTTCGTAACGAATCGCTCGAAACAAACACGGTTAAGTAATTTTTGAACCACTCTGCCTGCAGTTTCAAGCATGGAACTGTATTCAGGAGCAATGATTTAGTTTATTTTAATATTATAAAGTGCATAGAGGTTTATTAGAACAATAACTCACGCAATCTGTCTTAATGTACAGTACATATTGTTACGTTAACAACGAATCTTGAGAGATCGCGGTCCACTAGTTTAAAGGTACAGTTTGAAATTAAAATACAGTAAGAAGCCAAGATTAAACTAAACTTTATATAACTACCAATATATTGTAGTTATATTGACATAGTAGTTTTTATTTGCTTCTCGTCCTTATCGAAGTATATATATATATATATTGCGATTTTTTCCAAACAAGAATTTCGGAATTGAAAATTATTTTCTATTTATAAACTATTTTTTATTTAAAAGAATAAACTTTATTTGTATATTTTATTACAATTTTAAGATTGTTATTAAAATTAATTAGTGTTTGATTTCATAAATGATATAGTTCAGTCAGCTTGATGAGCGATGAATTAATTGATTAACAATGATTTTGTTTAATGAAATAACTAATGAAATTATCGAATTAATATAATATTACTGTTTTAAATGATTAATTTTATTAAAGACTAGAGATGAGTAAAAAGCAATTTTTTTTTATTTTTTTAGCTGTTATATATAACAGAGGGAAAGTATGGCGACCAGTCAAAAAACATGACCCCTCTCACCAAAAATTTTTACATTTTGGATTTAGGGAACCTTCAAACGTCGAGAAATAAAAAAGAATACGGGTTATTTTTCTGTATGTACGAGTGTATGTACGAGAGTCTTTTTGTATGGCTATGAGTGTGGAGCACGATTTTTTTCGCCCAGTTTAAAGCTCAATAACTCTTGTGCCTTTTGTCGAAAATTTCTGAAATTTTGCAAGGAAGTTTATGTTTTAGTGGCATTGACGCTATTAAATTTTGGAGGTTAAAGCTCCAGTGGATGGAGAGATACAGGAGCGTCACGTATCATATCTCGAATGGGATCGAACTTAAGAAAGATTTTACACGTTAAGTTTTTTTTTATAAAACTCATCTCTACTCTCAAAATTAAGCTTTTTGCCAATTTATAATAATTCTTTAATATAAAATTTTTAAAATATTTCATAACAGATGGCGCTACATACAATTTTACCTTTCTTTGCCGGGAAAGTTATGCAACTGCTTGCTGTATTTTGATATTAATTTTATCATTTTTTATTCAAATTTTTAGAGATATTTTAGAGTAGAGTATAAGCTTATACACTAGAATATGCCTATAAATTTATCAGAGAATATTTAATCAACAGTTTGCTGAGATTTTAATAAACGAACTGCATTCTAAGAGTCACAACTCCCACATAAATCGAAAGTAAATTTTCAGAAATGATAAAAATATAATACAAAAATAGAAAACGTACGTTTCTATTAAATAATTAGAACTAAAATTACTAGAAAATAATTGGGGTAAATTTCTATCTAAAAAAGGACCTCTCCCTTAAAAAAGTTTGCAATGAACTCTATGTCAAGTATATACAAGGCTGGACTTATATGCTATAGCTTAATGCCACAAGTTTAAGAGGCCCTTCTCTATCAGCAATTAATAATACACGTGAAAATGCGAGGCCCTAAACTATAGACTTATAACACGATACCCTAAGTTGCAGTTTGTTTAGGTTATGTGCAAATCCAACCCTGACTATATGTATTTTATATATATACATATATATATAATTTATAAATTTTTAATAATAAAATTAACTATTTAAATATTTAAATGCCCATTTTTAAAATGTTCTTATGCAATTTTAAAGTATATAAAATAATTTTTATGACTCAAATTTCTTGCATGTTTACGTACACAAGAGGGATGAACATCCGTAAGGTGATAAAGGGTAACAACACAAAGTGTACTGTAGATTGTATGGTGATAAATAGCACGACATATTGTGATTTTTTCATAAAATAAAAATAATAATAATAATTTTTCCCTTAAAATTTTAAAAAATATTATTTTACATTCCCAAAATTAAATGACGTTGCTCGAATGGTGGATTAACAGTTGAAAGATAAAGACAGAGAAGACATAGATGATGACACAATATTCACTTTATAATGGGGAAAGTAGTAAAAAGTCGAACAATTTTCTTATCTCGAAAGTGTCATTCACAATGATGGAGATATTAGAAAAGAAATAGAAGCTATAATTGGAAAACTGCTAATGTCTTTCACAAAATAAATTATGTCAATCAAAACGCTTAAATATTAAGACCAAAAAAATCAATATCCCTGCATATTTTTCAAACCGAAAAAAAAGGTTGGAAGAGAAGTGAAAACGTTGAAGAATAATTGTCCGAAGAAGATTAGAAAATAACCTTGTAGGCAATGTGTAAAGGAAAACATTTCGCACGAGAAATAGGAGAAATCACACAAAGGAACCACAGTGGAAACGATAATTAACGCCTTGAATCATAGTTTACAAATAAAAATGTAAAGAAAATAATAATTATAATCTCTACAGAATAAGGGATGACCCAAAATTCAGTTAACTACCGTAAAAGCTTATTCAAATGCTTTAATACGTAATGCACTATGATACATTTTCGTAACGAATCGCTCGAAACAAACACGGTTAAGTAATTTTTGAACCACTCTGCCTGCAGTTTCAAGCATGGAACTGTATTCAGGAGCAATGATTTA